AGCCCCATGCCCAGCAGCCCTGCCTCAGCCCAGGCCTCACCCCAGCACCAGCCCAGCCCTGCCCCCCCCGACACCCAGCGCCCCGGCCAGCTCTGCCAGCTCTGAGGAGGACCTGCTGGCCAGCTGGCAGCGGGCGTTTGTGGACCGCACTCCGCCCCCGGCTGCTGTGGCCCAGCGCACAGCCTTCGGACGTGATGCGCTCCCTGAGCTGCAGCGCCACTTTGCTCTAGGCCCCGCTGACGGAGATGAGGAGGTTCAGGCACCTTCTTCCCTACCTGGTGAAAGCGGGCTTTTACTGCCAACAGAAGCTGACCCTGGCTTTCCCAGGGAGGAGGAAGAGGAAGAGCTGAACCTGCCCGTCAGCCCCGAGGAAGAGCGCCAGAGCCTGCTGTCCGGTGACTGTGACACAGAAGAGGGGCCTGGCACTCCCCGCTCTGAGGGCAGGGCCTGGGCACTCCCCAGCTCCAGCCGCCCCCAGCGCAGCCCCAAGAGGATGGGGGTGCACCACCTGCACCGCAAAGACAGCCTGACCCAGGCCCAGGAGCAGGGCAACCTGCTCAACTAGGGCCCTCTGCTTGGCTTTCTGCCACTGCTGCACTGGGGCTGCAGGGCGCCCCGACCTTTGCAGCTCAGGGTCCCCGCCCAGCCTCAGCCCTTGAACTCTGCTCCCTGTGCGAATAGGGTCAGGCCACAGCAGGCCTTTCAGCTGCAGTGACTGTAACTGATACCAGCTTGCCTCATGGTTTTTCCTTTCTGGAATATTTATTCTTCAAAGGTAACTTGCAGCTGGGCTCATGACCTTTCTTCCCGTCAGCCCAAGTTGGTCTGTTCGGGGGAGCTGAGGGGTTTATTACATCAGTGTTTATCCTCCATCCTTTTTTCATATCCACCAGTTTTTTTCCCCCCCGGGGCGTGAGGCGTGGGTCATTGGGATTACTAACCTCTAATTTCTATTTTCACCTGTTTCCCTCTCCCCCCAAGTCCTCTGCACGAGCTGTTGCCTTCAAGGGACCTAGCACAGCAGGCCCTCAGGGGATGAGGGAGAGGACTGACTCAGGGCTCTCCTCAGCTGTTTCCTTCCTCCCTCTGGAAGGGAGTGGAGGATGGGATTCAGGGGCCTCAAGCTGAGCTCTAGGAAGCCTGGCCCTGCTCCCAACCTTGGCTCTAGACTGTTACTCCCAGCTTTGGGAAATTTTCACATCAATAACTATTTTAAAATTAAATTAAACTATTTTACTGGTATGGCCTAATTTGTCTAGTAATGACATTCTTTCTGCCATTCTTCCCAGGCCTAGTCATGTCCTAGTCTTTGCTAGTGGTTCCCCTTGCCCCTACTCTGCCTGGGGCTTCCCTGGGCACAGAGCATCAGGCAGGGGGAGAGGGTGCACCTCAGGTAAACTTGGCAGGGCCCCTGAATCTTTCCTTAAGGTAGGGTCCAATCCAGCCCAGCTCTAAGGGCTCTTGACCTTAGTTATGATCCTTACAGGACCTATGTAAGGTGTCATCCTAGAACCCTGGGTCCTAGCAGTTGGAGACCTGAGCCAGACTTGGAGTCGTTTGGGGCCAGTGGACACTGCCTGGAGCTTGGGCTGTGGGGTGGTACTGCCCTCTAGTGGTGTCTAGTGGTAGTTCGAATTCCTCCCCTACTGTCAGCCCCCAGTGATCAGAGCCACACACCAGGTTGTAGAGTTCATAAAATCTCTTCCGAGCCAGCGGGCTGCAGCCAGAGCTGCTAACAAGTCCAGAGGCATTGCTTTGGGTTCAAGTGCCCCCAAGAATTTTGCTCAGTCACAGCTTCCAGAGCCTCCCACCACATTGCCAGGAGCTGCCAGAGCCCAGGCACCCTCCCTTCCCCAGCCCCAGGGTCTGACCCTATTTAGGGCAAGGTGCTGGGGACATAGACAAATGTAAAGGTGCACAGAAGCCCAAATGGAGAGTCACATCTCGGTCTCAGCCAACAGACTGTCCCCTAGTCCTGATGTCATCAGCACCATCTGAGAGCTGGGATCTGTGGAAGGGCAGAGGGGTGTTCAGACCACCATGTGTTCCTCCACTGGGGGCCACAAATAGGTGAGTAGTGACCTAGGTTTCCCACACCCACTCTCTGGTCCCAGGCCTCTTCAGACCTGGTTCTGAACAACCCTTGGGGCTCTTACCACTTGGGCACATCCAGGAGCTGCTGCCCCTCTTCTGGGCAGTAGGCTCCCGCCCTCTCTCTCTTTCCTGCGTGTCGCCAGCCCCTCCTGCCACCTCCTCCTCCTCCTCCCCCTCAGAGAGGAGGTCACAGATCTGCTGCTGCAGCTCCGGGCTAATGCTGTTCTCAGCCAACACCAGACTCCGCAAAGCTGTGGGGTAATTTTCTACCATGTCCAGCAGGGTCTGCGGTGGGGAAGAGTATGGAAAAGGATGAACACAGTTAAGGCAGCTCCTCAGACTCCACCCCTTCGGTAGGTCCACAGACACGCTGGCTAACCTCAAACCCTGGCCCTTCCCCAAACATGAAGACTTCTCACCTGAGCTGACTGGTTGGTGAGCCCTGTGCCCTCCAAGTCTAGGACCTCTAAGGTGCGGCTGGAGGCCACAGCTACAGCCAGCATCCCTGCCACGTGGTCACCTGGGGAGACAGCACACACTCATCTGCAGTCTAGGAAACGCTGGCAATTGGTAGGTAGCCAGGTGGGGAGCATTGTGACTGCCAAGTGAATGGATGAAGCAAGCCAGGCCCAGGAGGCCTTTTCTTTTTTTTTTCTCTCTCTTTTTTTTTTTTTTGGTATCCACTGAAAGTTTTATCCCAACCAGTTGTTTAAAAACCAAGTAACACAGACCTGGTGGGTAGGGGTTGGGGACTGCACCTCCCTCCTACTCACCATGGACAGAGTGGGAAAGAGGAAGGGAACAGGAGAGGTGGCTAAAGTGAGACAGCAGCAGTGGTAATGGGGCCAGCTACGTCACACATCAAGCTCCCTCCTCTCCCAGGCCCTGGCTGGAGCCCCTATGGCTTGGGGTTGGGAGTGGGTGGAACCCTCCAGGCCCTCCCCTATCCCTTTTAAGGGGCTCAACCCATTTCTTCCCATAGGAGACTGAGGCACACAGGGAGGATGAAATGGGAGAGGAGGACGCAGGGCAGGATGCTTTGATCTACCTGTTGGTAATCTGGTCCTCCACACAGGTGGCTCCTCTACTTCTTCCCAGGACCTCCCTTTTTCTTCCCTCCTCCAGTGTGGGGGTTACCATAGCAACTGATGGTCCCAGGTTCTTGGATGGAGATGAAGGGAGGTGAGAATGAAAAGGGGCTTTCTTGAGCCTCACCCAGGGGGTTGTAGTCCAGATTGAGGACGCGGACCTGGGAGCTGTGGGCCACGGCAATGGCGAGGCGGCTCCAGCCCTTAGGGGTGATGCCAGGGTTGGCACTCAGGGTCAGCTCCTTCAGGCCTGGGCAGCATCATAGCAAGAAGCCAGGATGGAGAAGGTCAGGCCTTTCTCAAGCCCCTCCCCCACCCAGAGATCTCTGGGGTGTCCCTAGTGACTGGGAGCCACCCCACCCTACCCCCACCATGGAGCTCCAGGGCCATTAGAGACCCATGCCTTTCCTGCCTGCTGAAGCCTGGATTCCTGAGCCTCCATCCTGCTCAGCCCCCAATCCTTCTCTCTCCTGAGGGGATTTGAAGAACATTCTCACCTATGAGGTCAGAGCCCTCAGTTCCAGGTCAGGCCCACTGCCCTCTGCACTTAGCTTTTCATCAAGGCCACAGCAGCGCATACCCTCAGCAGGGCCCTGCTCACCAGACTTGGCCCCGTCTGGGGGAAGGAGGCCACAGATGAGGTTGATTGCTTCATCACCCAGCATGCAGTCCCCCAGGTCCAGAGCCACGAGGGCAGGGTGGAGGGCCAGGGCTGGATTCAGCAAGGCCAGGCCTGCATCTGTCAGGGGGCTCCCGTGCAGGCTGCAGGGTGGGACCAGAGAGCAGAGGTTACTGCAGTCATCAGCCCTGTCTGTAAGGGGGAAGGGGCGCCCTCCCTTACATGAGCCCTAGAGGTGTGGAGGACATTCAGTCACAGCACTGGGGAGAAGCTTTGGGAAGAAAGAAAATTCTAGATTTTAAAGAATGCAGGTAGAAAGGAAATTTGGTTTCTTTCCTGGGCAGGGACTGGGATCCAGATCAGAACACAGAGAAGGGGTGTGTGGGTGGCGTGCTGAAGATTCTTCACTGGACAGAATGCCGGGTCAGGGACTTAGTCCCAGAGAAGTCAGTGCGGGTGATTAGGTTGGGAGGTACAGGGCCCTGCCAGGAAGGGGTGAGTATCCCATCTCATTTGGGGTGGGGCTGGAGTTCAGAATCTGGAAATGAGGCATGAGCTTGGAGGTTGTAGAGACAGGGGCAGAGGAATGAGGTGTGCTAATAAGGGGTGAGAAGGTACGTTGGTGCAAAGACAGGTACAAGAGGGTGTGGGGAGGAACAGGAGGTGGCAGGGGGAGTGCAAGGAGGGGTGCAGTGCCCGGGACCCCTTGCGAGGGAGCTCACTCACAAGAGGGACTGGATGGAACGGTTGGTCCGCAGCGCCTCCGCCAGCTGCTTGATGCGGCTGGGACTGGACACGACGCCCAGGTTAAGGTTGAGCTGTGCCAGGGACGTGGCCCCGGCCAGAGCTCGGCAGATGCGGCCGAAGTCGCGGTCGCAGAGACGGCAGCCGCGCAGTGAGAGCAGGCGCACGGCGTTGTCGCGCAGGCCGCGGCAGATGTCCCGCACCTCGGCGCCTGACAGGGGCTCCCCCGAAATCTGGATGGAGCTGGGCAA